AGGAGGAGGAGGAGGAGGAGGAGGAGGAGGAGAAGAAGAACCATGAGAGTAAAAGAATAGAAGATGTGGTCAACTTTATCAAGTATGTGATAGACCAGGGAAAGGCAAGTGTGATATTATTCAGGGTGTCCTAAATTTTGATGTTTGTTTAGAAGTGTTTGCTGAAGATAAGCGAGCTGGGGATGAGGTGGAGATATTTTAGTGAGTGACACCAGGTCCAAAAAGTCACCGGAGAAAAGGAAAAAATAGTTGATAAAAGAAAAATTAAAAAGACTGGTAGGCAGTCTTGCAGCCTAACTTAATGGGATATATAAATTAATTATTATTAAGAAATTATGGAAACCACTAGCACAAGAGTGATTTTTCTCCAGCAATGTCCAGAAGTACTGCACAGGGAAAGAGAACACAGTCTGAGGGACTTACAGAGTATTGTGGTTGTGCCACAGTGGGAGGTTGGAGGGTGGAAGAATTTTGCAAGAGTTGAGGATATTGATGAGCAAACTGTGATCAAGCACAAGGTCGGGTATGAAGTAGTAAGTGCAGGAAGATATGTAGACATGTAAAGTCTGTCAGAGAGCTAAAACCCTTTAGGTAGTCAATGCAGTGAAAATATGAAAGATACAGAGGGTTTGAACTCTGCTGAGGTGGTGATATTTGAGACCATGATGTTTGGGTTGGAATGATCCCAGGTGATGTGATGATCTGGTGGGTGGTCTTAGTTTGGGGCTGTGTGAAGTATCAGAGAGGTGAAATTCTTCAGAGTTGAGGAAGCACATGAGTCTGAGGCTTATTGCATAGTTTAAAGATAAACAGGTCACTGAAGTTTTATCCAAGGCACTGAAAGGCCAAGTGAGGCTGTGGCTCTGCAGTAGGGTCTGGGAGTCTTCGGAGCTAGGACAATGGTAATAATGAAGAGTGGTCAGCAGTACAGCTACGCAGCACTTTCCGGGAGAGAGGAGATGCTTTCCTCCTCCTGCAGAAGCTTAACTTTACAGAGCAGTTGCGCACTAGAGGATCCCAGCCCTGCTTCCTCCTCCTGAGAGGAGGACTTGAGGAAACAAACACTATCCCGAAAGTTGCTGAAGAGGGCACTCTTTTGTGGGAAAAGATGAGATATGTGTTTAGACATGGAATGGGGATTTGAAATGGAGGAATGCTATGGCCCATGAGAAGAGGACGTATTTAGGATGAGAGAGTGTGGCGTGAAGGTAAAGGAAGGGACAGACTAAATTTTAGATTTGAGTAGAATCAAAGAAGTTGTCAATTGAGTCGTGGTAAATAATGCTCATTGAACCCTTAAGTACAAGATTTGAGTTCTTTATTGTGGTGCATTTCCAATGAGCCAGAAAGCGTCTCAGTAGTGGAAATACGTACGTGTAATACTTTTGAAAATACCTGAAGATGTCATTTTGTTGCCTTGGAAGGCATCTACATTTGCCACATTTTCTCTCCACAGTGTGTTATTTTATGGTGTCAAAGAGAAGCTAAGAGTGGCCTTATTTTATTCCTTTTCAGAATAGAAAATGACTTTGTCTTAGTCACTTTCTGGTCACCAAAGGCACAATACCTAACACTCATGACTTAAAGAAAGAGGGGTTCATTTTGATTCACAGTAATTTGTAGTTTCAGTCCATAGCTAGCTGGGTCCAAGACAGGAAGGCGTGGTGGAAGGGGCTGGTGGAGGACAGCTGCTTGCATCATGGCAGGCAGGAAGCAGAGAGAGAAGAGAGGAGCTGGGGCGGGAGATGCACCCTTCAAGGTCACATCCTCCATGACTTGCCTCTAACCAGGTCCTACCTAATGGCACGTTCAAGCATGGCTTGATCAGTGGGTTAATCCACCGATGAGTCTGGCCCCCAATGATCCAGTCACTATCCAAAGCCCCACTTCTGAGCACATGAGGCTTTATGGGAACATTCTCTGTCTAAATTATGACAGAAGTATACTCAAAAATAATTATTTTTCATGAACACTTATGAATTTTTTTCTTCATTTTTGATATTCAGAAGTTTTACAAAGACATCAATGGTGAACTTTCAGTAAAAGTGTTAGTGTGAAAATTAAGTCGTTACTGGTGTACATCTGCTTTCATTTCATTTGACACTGCATTTGCCTTTCCTATTTTATTGACTCTTCTAGGGAGGTGTATTGAATAAAGTGCGTTCTTTGCATCACTGATTCTGTTTTGGAAGTATTAGCTTTGTTTTCCAGCCTTGAACACAAATTTAAATGTGGCATTATGCCTTTAGTTTACTGCTAATGCTTCTTCTTTTTTTTGTCTGTTTTTATTTTTTATTTTAAAGAGAATAAAAAATCAATAACAAAATAACAACATGGACAAAAACAAAACAAAGCAAAAACAATAAAAATGATACAAGGTTTCAGGGCAAAATAATAGGGATTAACAGTGGCTGTTATACTACATATTGTTGGGCTGGGGATGTAGCTTAGTGGCACAAGCACCTGCCTAGCAAACACCAGGTCCTGAGTTCAATTCCCAGTACCAAAAAAAGAGGAAAAGAATGGTTTGTGTTGTATTACATGTTTTTATATTCAACAAAGTTGCTCAGATTACCAGATATAAGAATGCAAGATTGATCAAATCATTAAAGAGAATAAAAAATAATTTAAAAAACATTAGAAATGATACAGAGCTTCACTATACAAGATGGTAGGAATTCACCAATGGTTGTTACATTGCATATTATTGTCTTCAAATTAGTTGTTCAGATTGCCAGATATAAGCATGCAAAATTGGTCAGAAAATGTAAGCATTAACTGTTCCTTTCAATAAACCAATAGTCACCAGCAGTACAATTATCCCAGCTATCCTTACATATATTTTCCCCTTCCTTCTTCCTTTCTTTTTCTCCTTTCTCTCATCACAGTTGCTCCTTCCCTTTGAACAATTTCTTTCCCTTTCACAATTTCTATTGTACCTTTTAGGTTTTAATTACTCTTTCAGGTTCTTATACTAGAGACAATATGATGTTTATACATGCAGGTCTGATTTATTTCAGTTTTGAGTGTGGTCTCTAGTTGCATCCATTTACCTATAAAAGCCTCAAGTTTATGTTTTTTATAGCTGAGTAATACTT